TTGGTCTTACCAAGTTTATTACTTGAACGATTCGGTCATACTTGCCGATTGAAAAATCTTTACATATGATCACTTTGATCGCTTTTGTATTAAAGGTTTGACCGTAGTGCCCAGAGGTTGAGCCAACGACTGAGACGATGACGGCAGTGGGGCACCTAGCAGTAGGGACCGAGATGACGACGGCGGTGGTGCAGCGGCGTGGCGACGAGGCAAAAAGTAGTGGTGAGCGGCGAGGCAGATAGCATTTCGCGCAGAGAAATGGAAAAAGAACAGTGAAAATGAATAAAGTTTTGGTTATTAACCCTCGAAGACGCTATTACCTCGGTTAAGTAAAAACCCGAGGTAATACGTCCTTTACTGCCTCGATTACAACAAAAACTGAGGCATAAACCCCTGCCACTAAAATGGAGAACCAAGGCATAAACCCCTGCCACTAATCGTCTTCGAGCGTCCAACTTTTTCTTGATTAGTGAAAACATCCTTGGCAAATGCTTTCGTAGTTGTTCATCTTTCATAAATCCAAGAATTTCACCTCTGACTATGAAATACGAATGCCCCCGACTATCCCGATTAATCATTACTTCAATCCCGAAGGCCAACACAATAGGATCAGAATTATGTGGTGTTATCTCATGCTAATGTATCCGGAGCGTAGGCTTGCTTTGAGCCCTCTAATTTCTTCAAAGTAACAACATCGGAGGCACGACCCGGCCAATTAAGGCCAGGAGCGCATCGCCAGCAGAAGGGATGAGTAGACCAGTGCACAATAGAGCCGGACCGATCAACCAAACCCAAGGTAACTAGCACTGGTGAGTGGTGAGGCAAATAGCGTTTCGCGCAAAGAAATGGAAGAAGAACAATGAAACTGAATAGAGTTTTGGCTATTAACCCTCAAACACGCTATTACCTCGGTTAAGTAAAAAATCGAGATAATACGTCCTTTACTTCCTCGATTACAATAAAATTGAAAAATTTTATTTAGTGACAAAGGGTTTTACTTTAAAAAGACTAATTTATATATCAATTTATAAATTAAAAATTATTGGTATTTAAAATAGTCTCTATTATAAATTCAATATTAGTTTATGAATTAGAGTTTACATTTATCTATAACTTTAACCATTAAAATTTTAAACTAATTTTTAATTTTAAATTAGTATAAACTTTAACAAATTTTGTTTGTACCAATAAATCTAATTTTATTTATTGGCATTGACCCATCATTACTATTTTACCCTCACACCTTAATAAAACTAATTATTTAGAAATATAAAAACTTAAAATAACTAATTTATAAATTACTATTATATGAAAATATGAATCAACGTGATAAAGCTCTCTTGATTGATTGCAAACTATCAAAGCCTTTAATAACATATCTTATCCTTATTAAAATCATATTCAATAATAAATTATATAAATAACATTACATCTTTCAATAAATGTTGTGAAATAATTATTATTCAAAAACAAGCAATTATTTATAAAAGTTAACAAAAACATTACAATAATACATATTTTTTTCACCGTACTCTTTGTATTTACACGGTCTTGTAAACCATTTTAAAGTTGTTTATAATATAAAATTATGAAACATCTTTTCAATCTAATACAGAAGGTTTGAATATCTTGCAAAATAGTTGTTAACAGACTTTCAATTAGTAATTATTGCAACCAAATATGTTTTAAAGTTTCCAAGATACTCAAGATCATAAAATAAATTAAAGACAAACTTAAGATTTGAAACAACAATTTAATGGAAGTATAAACATGTCAAGGGTTTTTTATAATAAAATAAAGATACACTAAAAATATTAATGATGAGAAAAGATTATGACAAATTTTAGAATAATTTGATTTAGATAATGGAGATCAATTTTTAAAAAAAAATTAAAGATAAAACCGTTAAAAATTATAAATCTTTTAAATTTTCTAGATATATTGATACCAAATCAAATAAATATTCATCCTTTTCACATAATTTTAAGACAGAATACATGAATTAATTGCAAAAGCTAAAAATGCAGGATAGCACAATATTTTGAAGTGTATGCACCATTTGTTTAAATTGTAAATTTATATTTTTGTATGCAAAATGTTTAGACGCACAACATATAAGTGCGTATATAAATTAAATATATATTAAATTTATTTATACAAAAATAAAAATAATCAAATTATTTAAGAAAATAAATTACAAATAAAGCTCATGTATACGCATGGGTCTTAGACTTGTTATTTTTTTAAACCTTTCTGTTCCAGTACACGTGGCTTCTAATTTCAAAATTTAGTAAAATCCTAACGTACTTTTATTTCTTAAGAATTTTTAAATAGCTCGTGCATTCTCAATGTTTTAGAATTTTTTGTGATAAACCTTTGTTTAATTAATGCTTAATACTATTTAACAAAATCAATTATCAAATTACATATAAATTAATAAAAACATAAATTTTGATGTAAAAAAAATTAAACAAATTAGCTTTTTTAGACCATCTTGAATTTTAATAAAAACACAAGGATAAAAATCAAATTAAAAATTTATATCTAATTTCAAACTTGTTGAGTTGTTTTTTATCTCAAAATTTATTTGAATTTGCCGTAAAGCATTTATCTAAAAAGTGATATTGATTTAACCCCTTTGTTTTTTATAACAATGAAAAAAATAAAACATGAACACAAAAAGATGAAATAAGGTATGAAACAAAATTATTTTTTCTCTTCAACAAGTTTTGAATTTGTTCGCATTTTATCAAAAGTGGCTTCTTTAAAAATTTGTTAGCTAAAACCGAAAATATTTGATTCCCATATATTTTATTCATTTTAAAAAAATATATATTTAAAGATAAAACCACTTATCTTTAAATTATAATTGTATTTTCTTAGTATAGGAGTGTTGATTTTATAGAATATATTTTTTTGCTTTATCAACAACAGTTATCAATTATCTCTTACACAATTAAAATAAGGTTAATTTCACTTTGAATTGGATATAAGTGTAAAATATAAACACAATTCTTTTAAAAAATAATTGAAAATTTAAATCATTTTGAATTTATCTTATTCTTAAGTTTTTCATTTTCGTTTTTGATGAACTTTTGACTTGTTTTATTATCTTATTTACTTGTTTAAAAAAAGTTTTGATTTATATTTTTTATTAAGTTTATCTTTTGTAACTTTTGTGCATAACTTAATAAAATCAAATCTATCAAAATATTTTCTATGGTTTATCTTTTCTTTTTGATTTATATCTTTTTATCAAATCAAATCTATCAAAATATATTTTATGGTTTATCTTTTCTTTTTGATTTATATCTTTTTATCATTAATCTTTATGATCTATCTTTTGTTTTACTATTTAAAATCCCTAACACTTCTACATCTTATTATATTTTCATTATTCTTTTCTCTTTCAACTATCAAGTTTTCACCATTCATTTGATTGTCATAATGAGAAACTTGAAAACGTTAAAAGAATTGCTTGCAAGTATCACTGATAGAGAGTCTCTTAATAGATTGTGTTTCAAATCATTTCAACCTTCTATGTTGGATTGGCTAATATCTCAAGATGCTCCACACTTTTACAATGAAGAAGAATTGCTTCAACTGGAGGATTACCACAAACAACTTTCAAATTGTTATGAATCACATTTAGGAAGGAATAATACAAAAAAAAGTGCTCCAATAAGGTATTTTCAAATTCACTTTATTTGTTATTGAAATTTTTAGTATAATGTATAATGATATATATATTTTTCAATTCCCACTGTTTTGAAGTAAGGATCATTATTTTAAACAAGCAAATATAGATTTTTATTTCAAATTGATATAAAGTCATAATAATAAAGATTAAATATCTTTTTAATCCCTTAATTTTGATATGAAATTGAAATTTGTCTAAATTTTGATACATGTTGGTCCTTAAACTTGATAAATGAATAGAGTTTTTTTAATTCAATTACATTAACTTTTTTTTATCTCAAACATGTTTCATTCTAGTTATTAAGTTAGTTGAAAAACACGTATGTGACTAAAACTTCAGGTAATTAGACTCAAATTACTGTATCCATTCCTTTATAATTTTAGGACCAAAATATATTCAAATTTCACATAGGAGAGGAATTTTTTTTAATTTTATATAAAAGTTAAGGGACAAGTACATATTTAATTCTTAAACACATTATATATAAGATATAATCAATCCTTCATTGGTCAAAATAATAATACATGACAAAATGATAGTTATTATGAATTTGATTGAAAAACTTACATTCAAATGTTTTAACGAAAAAAATTATAATTTGAAATAATAGTTGAATGAAATAGAAAAAATATATAGTAATAGTAATATCTAAAAGGCTATTTAATATAGTTTTCTATTTGTAAATGTATTCCAAGTTGTAATCATTTAATAATATTTACTATATATTATTTATATAATTCCTTAATTAAATATGACTTAAAAAGATAAGATAAAATGATTAGAGATTAGTTGATTTGGCATGAGGAATATTGTTAGATTTTTACACCGTGATTAATTTGTAAATTAATTTGAACAATCATAATAGGAAGATATTATATTTGACTACATTATAGCTATTTTTTTAAAATTTCATTAATTAGTTTTGATATAGTAATATCTTGCTAGATTTCTATTAGTTTACAAATTTAAATGCATCACATCTTATTCAGATCATGAAAACGAAATTTAATTGGTAAAATCTCATTAATTTTGTTAGATTTCTTAAAATTTATTCTAACTCTTCTAAAATCTAAATTTCATTTCTCATTTTATTTTATTTTATATATTGAGTTAGAATTTTGTTAAAGGGTGCTTTTATTTTTTATAAATAACTTTTATTAATGTGAAAACTAATTATGTAGCAATTTATAACTAGAATGAGTATAATTATTAATTAAAGTGTTTTTATATGTACACAAAGAGAAGAAATGTCAAAAGGAGAAATCGAGGTGCCAAATATGAAAAAGCAGAAGAAAATTACGAAAAGTTCATCATGTTCATCTTCATCTCCACCAACATCATCATCTTTACCTCCATTTCTGCTACCACCACCACCACAATCTTTACCTCCACCACCATCACCATCTTTACCTCCACCTTTACCACCACCAACATCACTATATTTACCTTCACTTGTACCACCACCACCATCTTCACCTCTAACTATACCACCACAACCATCTTCACCTCCACCTCTAGCATCACCATCATCCTCACCTCTACCCCCGTCATCAAGGATAAAAGTGGTAGGTCTGAAACCTCCACCACCTAGAAGGGTAGAATGGATAAGTCCAACACCTCCATCATCACATTTGTCAATGGAATTCAAGAATCGAGTCACCGAATTGAATGACTATGATCTTAAATTTGTGATGCACAAGATACTTTTCTCATCGGATGTGAAACCAAACAATAACCGATTATCAATTCCAAAAAACAAAATCAAATGTGATTTTCTCACTAAAGATGAGATTATGAAGTTGGAAGAAAAAGAAAATAATGATAAAATTATTGGTTTGGAAGTGACTGTGTTGGACCCCTGTTTGAGAGAATATACTCTGCCAATGAAGAAGTGGACTATGAAATCAGACACCTACAATCTTGTAAAGGAGTGGAACAAGATCGTGGCAGCTAACAAGTTTAAAGAAGACCAAGAATTACAAATATGGTCTTTTAGGGTTAATACCAAATTGTATTTATTCTTAAACAAACTTTGAGTTTGAATGTTGGGTTGTAATGTAGAGTGAAGATTAAGATTTTTGTAAATTTGTTTTCTTTTAGGTTTTTATAAATAAGATGTAGCTTATCCCCGAATTTTGTTGGTTAGTAAGAAGTATTTTTCTTTGAATTTTTAGGTTTACATATAAGTTTCTCTTCACATCCTTTTTAAGAACCATAGAATAAAATCCATTATCACTAACAAATATAGAAGAAAAGGCCTTTGAAAAATTTCAAGCAAAGGATTTGCATTTAGCAAAGTACTTATTGAAGGTAAGGAAACTATCAAACATTTTTAAACAATTCTCTTTACTTTATGTTGATAGAGATCAATGCCAACGTCATTAAGATGTTAGTGTCACCTTGGCCATGCCACAAATAGTGAATGGATATACTTGGTACATTTTCGTATGGAGCTTGACAATCAAAGTTTATTATAACGACAATGGAGTATTTAATCAAATGGGTTTAATCGGAACTAGTAATCACATTTACATAAAAAAAAATTGTAACTTTTTATGAAAATCGATAATATGTCAATTTGTGGTTCTAAAAATTTTGTCTTCTCCTAGGAATGAAATAATGCAATTGGTAAGTAGGCTTGTGTAACACCTTATTATTGTATAAGTAATTTCTATTTAACTAAAAAGAAAGTTATTTCTTTATTGTGCGATAGAATTTTTTAGAAATAATTAGTTAAAACATAATCACACACACACACATACACACACACACACACACACACACACACACACACACACATATATATATATATATATATATATACATCATGATAATGCAAAAGCTAAAAATGCAGGATAGCACAATATTTTGAAGTGTATGCACCATTTGTTTAAATTGTAAATTTATATTTTTGTATGCAAAATGTTTAGACGCACAACATATAAGTGCGTATATAAATTAAATATATATTAAATTTATTTATACAAAAATAAAAATAATCAAATTATTTAAGAAAATAAATTACAAATAAAGCTCATGTATACGCATGGGTCTTAGACTTGTTATTTTTTTAAACCTTTCTGTTCCAGTACACGTGGCTTCTAATTTCAAAATTTAGTAAAATCCTAACGTACTTTTATTTCTTAAGAATTTTTAAATAGCTCGTGCATTCTCAATGTTTTAGAATTTTTTGTGATAAACCTTTGTTTAATTAATGCTTAATACTATTTAACAAAATCAATTATCAAATTACATATAAATTAATAAAAACATAAATTTTGATGTAAAAAAAATTAAACAAATTAGCTTTTTTAGACCATCTTGAATTTTAATAAAAACACAAGGATAAAAATCAAATTAAAAATTTATATCTAATTTCAAACTTGTTGAGTTGTTTTTTATCTCAAAATTTATTTGAATTTGCCGTAAAGCATTTATCTAAAAAGTGATATTGATTTAACCCCTTTGTTTTTTATAACAATGAAAAAAATAAAACATGAACACAAAAAGATGAAATAAGGTATGAAACAAAATTATTTTTTCTCTTCAACAAGTTTTGAATTTGTTCGCATTTTATCAAAAGTGGCTTCTTTAAAAATTTGTTAGCTAAAACCGAAAATATTTGATTCCCATATATTTTATTCATTTTAAAAAAATATATATTTAAAGATAAAACCACTTATCTTTAAATTATAATTGTATTTTCTTAGTATAGGAGTGTTGATTTTATAGAATATATTTTTTTGCTTTATCAACAACAGTTATCAATTATCTCTTACACAATTAAAATAAGGTTAATTTCACTTTGAATTGGATATAAGTGTAAAATATAAACACAATTCTTTTAAAAAATAATTGAAAATTTAAATCATTTTGAATTTATCTTATTCTTAAGTTTTTCATTTTCGTTTTTGATGAACTTTTGACTTGTTTTATTATCTTATTTACTTGTTTAAAAAAAGTTTTGATTTATATTTTTTATTAAGTTTATCTTTTGTAACTTTTGTGCATAACTTAATCAAATCAAATCTATCAAAATATTTTCTATGGTTTATCTTTTCTTTTTGATTTATATCTTTTTATCAAATCAAATCTATCAAAATATATTTTATGGTTTATCTTTTCTTTTTGATTTATATCTTTTTATCATTAATCTTTATGATCTATCTTTTGTTTTACTATTTAAAATCCCTAACACTTCTACATCTTATTATATTTTCATTATTCTTTTCTCTTTCAACTATCAAGTTTTCACCATTCATTTGATTGTCATAATGAGAAACTTGAAAACGTTAAAATAATTGCTTGCAAGTATCACTGATAGAGATCTTCTTGAATAGATTGTGTTGTCAAATCATTTCAACCTTCTGATGTTGGGATTGGGCTAATATCTCAAGATGCTCCACACTTTACAACTGAGACAGAATTGCTTCCGGAGGATTACCACAAACAACTTCAAATGGTATGAATCACATTTAGGGGGGAAAAGGAATAATACAAACAAAAGTGCTCCATAAGGTATTTTCAAATTCACGTTAATTTGTTATTGAATTGTTTAGTATAATGTATAATGATTATATATTTTTCAATTCCCACTGTGTTGAAGTGAAGGATCATTGATTTTTAAACAAGCAAATATGAGATTTTATTCAAATGGATATAAAGTCATAATAATAAAGATAAATATCTTTTTGACACTGAATGTTGGATATGAAATTGAAATTGGGGTCTAAATGTGATACATGTTGGTCCTAACTTGATAATCGAGATAGAGTTTGTGTGAATTCAATTACATTAACTTTGTGTATGCCAAACATGTTTGCATCTAGTTTTTAAGTGTAGTGAAAACACGTATGTGACTAACACTTCAGGTAATTGAGACTCAAATACTGTAGCCATTCCTATAGATTTTAGGACCAAAATATATCAAAGTCAATAGGAGAGGAATTTTTTTTAATTGTAGATGAAAAGTGAAGGGGACAAGTACATTGTTCCGTTAAACACATATATATAAGATATAATCAACCTTCATTGGGTCAAATAATACTACTGACAAAATGAAGTTTGTATGAATTGATTGTAAAACTTACATTCAAATGTGGTAACGAAAATTATAATTTGAATAGAAGTTGATGCTAGAAATAGCAATAATTATAATAGAATTATCTAACGGCTATTTACTTAGGGGGGGGGTGGAGTGGTTCTTTTGTAATGGTATTCCAAGTTTATCATTTAATATAGTTTAACTACTATATTATTTATATAATTCCTTAATGTAAAATTGACTTAAAAACGATCAGATAAAATGATTAGCGATTAGTTATTTGGCATGATGAATATTGTTAGATTTTTACACACGTGATTATATTTGTAAACTTAATTTGAACAATCATAATAGGAAAATATTATATTTGTAACTGACATTATAGCTATTTTTTTAAATTTCATTAATTAGTTTTATATAGTAATATCTTGCTAGATTCTATTAGTTTACAACTTTAAATGCATCACATCTTATTCGATATGAAAACGAAATTTAATTGGTAAAATCTCATGTAATGTTGTTAGATTTTCTTAAAATTTATTCTACGTCTTCTAAAATCTGAATTTGCAGTTCTCATTTTATTTATTTTATATATGAGTTGAAGTAATTTTGTTAAAGGGTGGCTTTTATTTTATAAATAACTTTTATTAATGTGAAAACTAATTATGTAGCAATTTATAACTAGATGAGTATAATTATTAATTATAATTATACTTTAATATAAATAATTTTACCATTAACAATAATATTTTCCATACACCCCTCATTTTACCCTCCCCCCCCCCCCGGGTGCTTTTTCTTCCCCACACCCCCCCCCTTTCCCTTTTCCTTCCTATTTCCTTGTCTCCCCCCCCCCACCCTCTCACCCCCCCTTTCTTTCCCTTCTTTATCTTCTTTTTTCCCCTTCCTCCCCCCCCCTTTTACCCCTTTCCTTTCTCCCTTCCTTCCCCTCCCCCCCTTTTCTCCCTTCCTTATTCTTTTTTTTTTTATTCCCTTGTTTTTCTTCCCTCCCCCTTTTCTTCCTCTTTCCAAAAACTTTCCCCCTCCCCTTCATCCCCCCCCCTTAACCAAAATTTATTTCCCCCCCCATTTACTTCCTTCCTTTTCCTTTTCCCTCCTCTATTCTTTCTCCTTTCCTTTTCTCTGTTACTATTCCCCTTCTCCTTTTTCCACTACCCCTCCTATTCTCCCTTCTAATTTTTTCCACCTCCCCTTCCTTCCTTTATTTTTCCCCCTTTCCCTTTTTCCTCATTCATTACTATTTCACTTCCTCCTTTTCCCTCCCCTCATTTTATTCTCCTTTTTTCTTTCTTTTTACGTCTTTTTCTCCTTCCCACCACTCCTCCCACTTTCCCTTCCTTTTTCCTCCCTTATCTTTTGTCTTTTCTCCCTCCTTCTCCCTACTACACGCTTTCCCTATTTAACCCACCACTCCCCCCTTACTTTCTTTACCCCCCTTTTACCCTTTCACCCCTTCATTTCTCCCCATTAGCCATTCCCACTACCTCTTAACACCCATTCCTTTTTCCGCCCTTTTTTTATAAATAACTTTTATAATTTTTCCAAACTAAGTATTAAGCAATTTATAACTAGAAGAGTATATTTTAATTAAAGTGTTTTTATATGTACACAAAGAGAAGAAATGTCCAAAAGGAGAAATCGAGGTGCCAAATAATGAAAAAGCGGAGGAAAATTACGAAAAGTCATCATGTTTCATCTTCATCTCCACCACCAATCATCATCTTTACCTCCCATTTCTGCTACCACCCCCACCACCACAATCTTTACCTCCACCACCATCACACCATCTTTAACCTCCACCTTACCCCCCACCATCCATCACTATCTTACCTTCACTTGTACCACCACCACCATCTCACCTCTACTATACCACCACAACCATCTTCACCTCCACCTCTAGCATCACCATCATCCTCACCTCTACCCCCGTCATCAAGGATAAAGTGGTAGGGTCTGAAACCTCCACCACCTAGAAGGGTAGAGTGGATAAGTCCAACACCTCCATCATCACATTTGTCAATGGAATTCAAGAATCGAGTCACCGAATTGAATGGCTATGATCTTAAATTTGTGATGCACAAGATACTTTTCTCATCGGATGTGAAACCAAACAATAACCGATTATCAATTCCAAAAAACAAAATCAAATGTGATTTTCTCACTGAAGATGAGATTTATGAAGTTGGAAGAAAAAGGAAAATAATGATAAAATTATTGGTTTGGAGTGACTTGTGTTGGACCCCTGTTTGAGAGAATATACTCTGCCAATGAAGAAGTGGACTATGAAATCAGACACCTACAATCTTGTAAAGGAGTGGAACAAGATCGTGGCAGCTAACAAGTTTAAAGAAGACCAAGAATTACAAATATGGTCTTTTAGGGTTAATACCAAATTGTATTTATTCTTAAACAAACTTTGAGTTTGAATGTTGGGTTGTAATGTAGAGTGAAGATTAAGATTTTTGTAAATTTGTTTTCTTTTAGGTTTTTATAAATAAGATGTAGCTTATCCCCGAATTTTGTTGGTTAGTAAGAAGTATTTTTCTTTGAATTTTTAGGTTTACATATAAGTTTCTCTTCACATCCTTTTTAAGAACCATAGAATAAAATCCATTATCACTAACAAATATAGAAGAAAAGGCCTTTGAAAAATTTCAAGCAAAGGATTTGCATTTAGCAAAGTACTTATTGAAGGTAAGGAAACTATCAAACATTTTTAAACAATTCTCTTTACTTTATGTTGATAGAGATCAATGCCAACGTCATTAAGATGTTAGTGTCACCTTGGCCATGCCACAAATAGTGAATGGATATACTTGGTACATTTTCGTATGGAGCTTGACAATCAAAGTTTATTATAACGACAATGGAGTATTTAATCAAATGGGTTTAATCGGAACTAGTAATCACATTTACATAAAAAAAAATTGTAACTTTTTATGAAAATCGATAATATGTCAATTTGTGGTTCTAAAAATTTTGTCTTCTCCTAGGAATGAAATAATGCAATTGGTAAGTAGGCTTGTGTAACACCTTATTATTGTATAAGTAATTTCTATTTAACTAAAAAGAAAGTTATTTCTTTATTGTGCGATAGAATTTTTTAGAAATAATTAGTTAAAACATAATNATAATATTATAAAAATAAAAAAAGAAAACAAACACACACACACACACACACACACACACACACACACACACACACACACACATATATATATATATATATATATATATATATATATATATATATATATATTTCTTGTGAAACCGAAAATACTTGTAAAGGTTTTCTTCATTCTACTAACTTCAACTATTGAGTACCTATCTTCTAAGCCTCCTTCATTCTCTTTCGGATGGTGGAATGCTTTTTAGAAATTTATCCTATTCACGTTGAGGATTTTTGTTAAAATTTGGATTAATAAAAAAAATGTGATAAATCACGATTAAAATAATATTTATACGGATATTTTGCTACCATGAGCTCCTATCTGATTGAACCTCAATTATGATTAGAGGCTCATTGGTCAACTTACTTGTTTTCTTTTAGCTAAGTTATCCTGATCGAAAATGTCTCTAACAAACCTACGAAGACAGTGGTAGGTGATATTCGGCTTAATGAGCAACATGGTTGTCAAAAAAATACATACTTTGATGCGAAACACATAATACCCAATATGCGACATCTAGTGACTCATACTTTATATTTATCAAAAGAATTCATTTTTCATAGTCATTGACATCAAATAAATGTTATTAAATAATTATTATTCAAAAACAAGAAAATATTTATATATATATATATAATAACAAAAACGTTACAATAATACATATTTTTTCCACCCTATGTACTTTTCGTATTTACATGTTCTTGAAAACCATTTTAAAGTTGTTTATAATATAAAATTATGAAACATCTTTTCAATCTAATAGAGAAGTTGCAAAATAGCTTGTTAACAGACTTTCAATTAGTAATCCTTGCAACAAAATATGTTTTAAAGTTTCCAAGATACTCATGATCATAAAATAAATTAAAGATAAACTTAAGATTTGAAACAAAAATTTAATGGAAGTATAAACATGTCAAGGGTTTTTAATAATAAAATAAAGATACACTAAAAATATTAATGATGAGAAAAGATTATGACAATTTTAAAATAATTTGATTTAGATAATGGAGATTAATTTTTTTTAAAATATTAAAGATAAAACCGTTACAAATTATAAATCTTTTAAATTTTCTAGATATATTGATACCAAATCAAACAAATATTCATTCTTTCCACATAATTTTAAGATAGAATACATGAATTAATTGCAAAAGCTAAAAGTGCAGGATAGCACAATATTTTGAAGTGTATGCACCATTTGTTTAACTTGTAAATTTATATTTTTGTATGCAAAATGTTTACACGCACAACATATAAGTGCGTATATAAATTAAATATATATTAAATTTATTTATACAAAAATAAAAATAATCATATTATTTAAAAAAAGTAAGTTAAAAATAAAGCTCATGTATACGCGTGGGTCTTAGACTTGTTATTTTTTTAAACCTCTCTCTTCTAGTGGTGAGACATGGCTTCTAATTTCAAAATTCGTTGGCTAGTATAATCCTAATGTGGGTGTTGCTCCCTCCACTACCACCTCTTGCTCCCTCCACCACCTCATTTCTGTTTTACGCCTCTCTTTAGTTTCTCATTCCTATTTCTTCCTTAGTAAAATTTTAGGGTTAATATTTTTTAACCTCTACCTACTCCAATCCTCTACATGTATGCAGCGACAACTCTTCTTCCTTTTTATCGTTCGTCCCCTCATTGTTTCATTGTGTTCTTTTTCCTCTTTTTCACTTTCCACTTCTTCGTCTCATTCTTTAATTGTGATAGAATTGTGGTCTCAGAGTGTGGTGGACTTTCACTAGCTGGTGTGCTTAGTGAGAGATTGCAAGTGGTGGTGGAAGCAATTAATCAGTCGTGCCAAGATCGGTGTGTGGTGGTGGTGCGGTGGTGCTTGAAGGATTCATTGTGAAGGTGCGTAATAAACCCTAAAAAAATAAACATATAATCTTTAAACGGATGTAAGCATCCATCAGCAGATGTCAACATCCATTTAAGGGAAAACGAATGTCGATATCTGTTTTTCCTTAAATGGATGTTGACATCTGTTGACGGATGCTCACATCCGTTTAAAGTTACATGTTTATTTTGCAGTTTATTTTTATTAGTTTATTTTTTTATATTAATTTTGGAGATATTTTAATAATGTAATTTATATGTTTTGATGTATTATTTTTGAATATATTTTTGATGTATTTTAATAATGTATTTTTGAAGATCTTTATTGTTATTAGTTTATATTTATATTTGTTTTGTATTTTACAGTTATATATAATTAGTTTTTTGTTTTAATGTTTTTGTATAATATATATTTTTTATATATGGTTTTTGTATTCTTTAACAATTTTATAATTATATAAAAAATTATTTATTAGTTTAATTATATGAAATATATAATTTTATTATATTAATATTTTTGTAATTAAAACAAACGGATGTGGTGAAGTTTGGGGGTGGAAATCTGAAAAAAGAGAAGGAGAGTTGGGAGGTGGGACTGAGTGAAAAGTAAAAATGGGTAGAAAGATAGGGTTTGAGTTTAAAGTAAGGATGTTGCTCCCTCCACCACCACCCTTGCTCCCTTCACCTCGCCAACCTTCTGCATGATTTTTTTAATTAAAATTATAACTTTTTTAATTTTACCCTTCTTTATTTACTTTAATTTCAAATCCTAAATTTCTACCCATTTTCACTCCCGCAGCCCACCTCCCAACTCTCCTTCTCTCTCCAGATTCCCACCCCACGAGCTCCATATATGTTTCTCATCTTGCAACTCTTACTTCTTTTTTGCTCCAGATCCGTTTCTCATCTCGCAACTCTTACTTCTTTTTTGCTCCATATCCGTTGTTCTTCATCACATTCCCCAACCCTACCCCCTCTTTCCAGATTTCCAGCCCCCACTCTCATTAGATCAGTTCTCCATATTTGATTGGTTTCGTGGTGCGGTGGTGTAGCTTTTCGTGGTGCAGCGGTGTGGCTCTGTGTGTGCGGTGGTCGGTGGTGAGACAACTTTATTAGTAATGTGTTTTTAAGCTAGTAAGTCTGGTCTTCAAGCACTCTATTTTGATGCTTGTTAAAATTTCTGTTGTCTCATAGTATCATGGTTTTGAATTTACAAGAGCAACAAATGGTAATGCCTGGACATCGGGAGTCAAACCTTCAGAAAGAACTGAACTGATACATTCCCACTGCTGCAACATTTGGAGGCATATATATTGGTGCCCTGACTGTGTTGGCTGATTTCATGGGGGCAATTGGTTCAGGGACTGGAATATTGCTTGCAGTGACAATCATATATCAGTACTTCGAGACATTTAAGAAGGAGAAAGCTAGTGAGCTTGGCTTCTTTGGTTTCTAATTTCTGCTTAGCATTTACTGCTGGTGATGCAATTCTCCTTCCCCACCTGTAGTTTTGCTGTGTATTGAGTACTACTTGTAGGTTGTTTAACACAGTAAGAAAGAACTTTAGATTAGCTTTTATCTTTTCTCTACCGAGGAAGCCCGTGGTATATTACTGTAACCGAGGACAATTGGTTCAGGCATCTTTTCTCAACATTGTTTTTATTAAGTAAAATAAAATTCTGCATCAAAATGGTTGTTGTTTTACTTTGTTGGGGTATTCTCAATGGTCCTGCCACTGGAGCTCACTTGCTGAGCTTATTCTTCATGGTCATTCCATCATCTTGTACATTTTTTTTC